TACCGTAGGTGGCACGGTAGACCTAGGCCCAGGTTCTTATATTTTTTCATTTTGATGGCCCTAGAGGCCAAAAACACTTTTCGTTCAAAATTTGTATATATGTACGTCAGTACATGTTTTTATACGTCCGTGAACGCAATAACTTGAGTAGGCCTAATGTTTGTCCGATCTTGATGACATTTGGCTTGAATGTGTAAAATGGAATAAACTTCACGAGACAGAGTTCACGAACCAGCATGATCGAACCTTGATAACGGGGATTTTGTGGGGTTTAAATGAGATTTCCTCATTTTTAACCATCAAAACATAAAGTTTTTCAATTTCTCTCTAAAACGTTTTAAAGACTTAAAAAAATTTGTATATTGAAGTGTCCTTTTATAATAATATAGCTACGGAGATAAAAACTGTTCTTTTAGTCCATTTTATTCTTGAGGAGAATAAATAAACTATCGTAGTTTGATTGATTATGGATATATTTTAATCAAACTTGGCAAACTTAATATTTTTTTGTAAGCTATTGATATTTTACTAAAAACACACTTTATTACCCTCCCTGTGGCAGCAAACCTACTAAAATAGATTTAATTGGAAATCCAATCAGTTGAATGGAAAATCGCTTAGTCTGCAGGTTTGCTGCGGCGGGGGTGTTATATTTTACTTTATAACTTAGTATTAAGTCAATTCCCAAAATATATCTCAGTACACAAAAACAATGGAATATTGGTTTTACAATTGAAATCACGAACAATACACAAATCCCACACGAATCTCGACATAAATCACTGTTACAAACAAAACTCATTGATTAGCCAAATTTTAAATGCTGCTGTTTATAAATAAACACAAATAACTTTTATTTCAATAGATCAGAATAACAATGAAGCGTTGATTGTGTTTGACAAAAGAGTGTCAATTTTTATAAATTGAGATATATACACTTAAGCTCATAATATAAGCTGATAGGGATTAACGTATTGCTGTGGAGCTAAACGTATCATATGGTTTTGTACGTCGTTTGATCGCGAACAAAAGAATAACTGATGAGGGCTTATCCCGTTCATTCAGCATGTATCGTACAGTAAATCTACACACCCAGACAGCTGGAATTAAATGCCATTTCATTATTAAACGATTTAATATCTTTTTTCAACATTATATGCTTTTATGTACAACATAACTGAATAAAAATTAAAAAGAGGTTAGTGTGCTAATTGAAACCTTTGATTTGCCTGTCTACATGGATTTTGGTGTCTGTGCGTGGAACTTATCGTGGAAAATAAAGGGTGAATTGGGAAATTAAATGAACTGTACTGTTTAATTTAGGGGTGGCACCGGTTCGCGAACCCATGACATTGATATTGAATGTAGACATTTGCATGTGTCACCAGTTCAAAAAATGTCAATACATTGAAAAAAAACTGTATCCCCTAATGTCAGTTTTGTTTATAAATACCAAGATAGTAGCATTCCAGTGTTCCGCGGTGTAACTATGTAAAAACAAGCCGTCGTTTGACGCTATCTCATAAATTAATAGGATAATAGTATTTTTAATAAAAGATTAACAGAAAATGATACTGTAGCGATTGCAACCATGAAAGCCACAGAAAATATCTGAAACTTGATAGACGTGAGTAGGTTTATGAAAATATTGCCTAACTTTTCCCGACAATACAATAGAATTCTCACTTACCCAAAAACCATACTAAATAACAAAATAAATATCTAATCGTCATAAGCTAAAATAAATTGTATTTACGGAAAAAGCAAAGAGGACCAAAAGATATATAATGAATATAAGTTCTCTATTTACAGGTGATGTATAAAATATTTTCAAAAAGAATGTTTGATGGTAATGTCAGAGAAGGGAGCTTCGAAGAAACCGGGAGCAAAATAGGCATACAAAAATAGTATAAATAATGAGAGTAGATAGGAATGAGAATAGATTAGAGTAGAAGAACAATATGAAATGCTTTGCATTAGTCTTCGTAATCGGTTTGTGGCACGAATAAAAGTCCCTTCATCGACAAGTGATTCTTAATCTACGAAAGTTTGCAGGACAATTCTTGTTCAGAAAGTCAGAACATCGCATTTAAAGAAAATCAACCAAAATCACTTAACTAAATTATTTTCTAAAAATATTTAAAACTGCTCCACGTGGCTTGAAGCTTTTCTTTAAATAACGGATACAAGGAAAACTCTTTGAATATTAACTTGTAGGTAGATTGTTACACAGCTCAGAAACGAAATCCACTTATAAAAATAGTTAAATAATGAATTTTATCAGATATATAATCTCTACCTTGGATCGACTGCTTAGTAGTCTAAAATTAGTAGCATTTGAAAAAAGATTTACTCTTAATTAATATTACCTCCCAATGCTCTACATTGTTTATCCGAAAACTTATGTTGAAATCGATTCGGAAATAAGCGTAGAGAATATTTTTGTGCTAAATCCAAACTAATTTGGTCTATTTGTAATTTTCATGATAAAAGAGGTAGGCATCTCAATTGTATAATAGTATGGATTAAATGTAAGTGGATTTATTATTTGTATTCAAACGTTACATAACAAAGATACAAATGCTTCATTACGGTTGAATAATCCTATTTTAAAACCTTAATGCCATTGTAATTATTTAGATTTATAGTTCAACTTTGTTGCACCATATTACATAATTTGTAATAATAGATGTATTAACTTATAATTTTGTTGACAATAAAAGAATAGCTTTTCTGTACGTAATCACTACTACGGTTAAATATAATTTTTATTTCAACTTTTGTCAAGATATACTTTTAAATTCATTTGCGAATATTGTTTTAGGTTAGAATATTTGTCTTAAAATATTCTTTTATGGATGCCTAAATTTGTTAAAGAAACTACTCTATCATGCCAAAAACTATATTTCGCAGCGTTTTTGGATTGATAAATAGTTCTATGGTAGGAATAAAAAAAGATATAATAAATCATAACATGAATAACTGGTAGTCAAGCATACAATAATTGGTTTAATTCCAGCTAATAATGAACACATATTAATATGTAGGTTTAATTAATGTGTATCCAAGTCATAGTTACCCATATCAACTAGCTGTTACCCATGGGCTTCACCACGTTTGACTTCATAAGTATTAATACAACTATTGATTGGCTAAGTTAAGCTGAAATAAACAAAACAGAATACAGTAATACAAAAAAATAATCACACATGATTTTAATAGTGTAATAAATTTAAAGAATAATAAACAAATAAGTACAGCTGAGGTATGTTTAATATTAGGTATATGGGAAGTTTCATTTAGAAAGGAATTATGACCTTAAAGGGCAATTTATGAAATAGGGCCTAATGGATAGTTTTGCGCAAGGTTTCTCGTATTGACGAACATTTTAAGTATATGGTTGATAGGGGTGTGACTTGTACTGTTCCCTAAAGTTCATGGGTACTTTAGGATTTATATAAGTATTTGTTAGGCTAATTAACTCTAGTTTTTATTTTAAAAATACGACAAAGAATGGCTTAAATTCTACAGGTCTCATTCTTACCGGCATTCAAAATAAATTTAACTTTTTTTAAAGATTTTCTTGAGCAAATTTAAATTATAAATTAGTTTCTGAAGGCTTAAAACTTACATAACATAGATACACGTTTTGTAAATTCTGTCACTCTTTGGCTGGTCACATGAATCCTGATTTATACATAACATGAATCTCGCAAAGGTAAAAAATAAAATGTATAATGGTCAAAGTTTGAGAACTGAGAGTGAAAATGTTTTTTTTATACAACTTAATAGAAAGTACGTAATGATTTGATTACAATTGTCCACCATCAATATTATAAAAACCATCAATATATATGTTATAAAACTATCAAAATATTAAATATTCAAGTCAACAACATGTTAGTTGGCTATAAGCACTACTGTATCTGATTGATAAATTATAAAACATTGTAATCACAATTATTTATTTCTATTACACAATCATTGGCAAAAATTTTATTTTGAGGGTTTCAAACGTAGTTTTATGATATTTTACTGTTGGATTGTTGAAAAGCGAAAGATTCCTTTTTAAATGGATTTGATGTATAATTATGTACTTAAATAAGATAATTGTATTTATATTGATGAAAACAATATGATTACGGCACAATATAAGAAACTAGTTGTTAAACAAAATGAGTTCATGAAATTTAACAAGTTGATGTTGAAATAATAGCTCTGACTATCATTTATATAGGCGTACTTATTTATGCGTATGTGTATTTTTCATTTAATATGTATGATTATAATATAATAGCAGAGTACCGTCCTTTGTACGGGATTGGGGTATAAAGTATAAGATGCTTATTACAGTTATAATCGTGCTTTGCGTTTAGAATGGAAGAGATCACGTTTTGGGATTTTTTTATTTTTATTTATTAATTTACTTTAGTAGCACATCTACCATAGCCATAAAGTTATATCACTGCACCTAAACGATAGAAAAAAATTAAGTTCTCACAGATTTTTGTTGCTGCGTGGATCAAATTAGCTGTTGTCATAAATGCCAAAAGAATTGATAGTAATGCCCCCTGTTGGTAAACATAACCTTTTAAAGCTATTGAATCATAGAACCAACTTGTGTAGTTGTAACAGCTGGCAAAGTTCTTCCTTTTAAATTTGTATAATCAGTAGGTTAACATGGGAAATTCTAGAGCCACTGGGGCAGAGACCGAAAGGATCTTTGAGTTAAGAATACCATATGTTAATCGGGAATGTGAGCTATAATCATACCAAATTTCAACCCAATCCAACAAATAATATCCGAATAATAGTTAGTAGTAGTAATATCCGACCCAATCCGAAAAATAGTTAATGCGTGATTGAACTTCAAACAAGCAAACATACATCTTTTGTTTTATTGTTTTACGTTATAGTAAGTGTATAAATCGATCTTTAATATAACTTTATTTTTACACTGAAGTAAAATACTTATTTGTATACACTTGTACAATACTTACCATAAATGCACCATTGATTCGTGGCACTTCAACAAACATTTGAACACCAATACAAAACGTTAAGGCAATATGTGCACTGTTAATTAAATACTACCATAACACACGCGCTGGCAGTAGCTACGGGCACTTAAACTACCAGAAGATACGAAGGCTCCCCACAAACGTTAGGGGAGAGAAAGAAGAAGAGTAAGGCCATCCGTGGCGTGCGAAGGTAGGTGAACTGGCGGAGCGCGCATCACGCCGACTGACTTGGGGGCCGCCGCCGCCTCCGTGCCACCCCCGAGCCGTCCCCACGCCTGCGCCACCCCCAACCACGTGCACTCCTACACAATCACTCTAAAAGCCGGCTGAATCATTGACTGGACCATCTTGGCCCTCAATAACTCCTGATCGCACTTTCCCCTGATATATATCTTAGCCACCTCTTTCGGCCCACCTGCGTCAAACATATCTTAGCCACCTCTTTCGGCCCACCTGCGTCAATCATATCTTAGCCACCTCTTTCGGCCCACCTGCGTCAAACATATCTTAGCCACCTCTTTACCTGCCTCAAACATATCTTAGCAACCTCTTTACCTGCCTCAAACAAATCTTAACCACCTCTTTACCTGCGCCACCTCTTTACCTGCGCCACCTCTTTACCTGCTTCGATCATATCTTAGCCACCTCTTTACCTGCGTCAAACATTATCTTAGCCACCTCTTTACCTGAGTCAAACATATCTTAGCCACATCTTTACCTGAGTCAAACATATCTTAGCTACCTCTTTACCTGAGTCAAACATATCTTAGCCACATCTTTACCTGCCTCAAACAAATCTTACCCACCTCTTTACCTGCGTCAAACATATCTTATCTACCTTTTTACCTGCGTCAAACATATCTTATCCACCTCTTTACCTGCGTCAAACAAATCTTAACCGCCTCTTTACCTGCGTCAAAGTGTTATCGAATTGGGGTTGTGTTTTTAACACAAGTTGATAAAAGTTTGGTAATGAGGCTACCAACTATACTCATCCCTCAGTACAGAGGAGTGTGAGGTCGGTAGGGAACGTGTTAAGCTAGAATTCCCATTTTTCTTATGGAGAGTAGATAAGCTGTTGTAGTTTGCTTGTATATAAACATATTTAGATCGATAATGAATCTCTTTCATACTAACATTTCACTAAGCAAAGTTTAGCTCTCCCTTTTGCAGAAAATTTAAGTACTCATTCAAATGTTATTTAAATAAGGGATTAAATTTGACTTTTTTGGGGGGGTACATGTATTATAGGGAAAATCCAATCCGATATAATAAATTCGCTTAGTCTGCAGGTTTGCTGCGGTGGAAGTAGAGGCAAAACGTGCAACGCACGCTTAAACTGCAAATTATAAACTGATTGTAAGTTTATGATTGGTTTTCATGAATTTGTTATGCAGAGCTGTGGATGTATTTATATAGCATTTGGCCTCACAAGAGTCCACTGACAACACAAAAGCATTGGGCTATACACTATATAATTTCACATAACATTATCCAACATTATGTTATCTAGATAGTAATGTTTGCTGTATTATTTATATACTATCTATTGAAGGTATACAATAAATAGTAGAAGGTAGTTAAAAAAGTTATTCAATTTCCTTTCACTACAGTATAGATGACAATTGGGGAATTGGTCCCTCGCCATTGCCCAATAGATCCAGGAATTGTTTATATGAAACGTAATGCTTCATTTTTACAATTGGATTGGTTTGTAACCACCAATAAACTCACTGTGTAAGTGATCTGTGTCTAGATATGATAATTTTCATTTAAAAAATTGTTCTCAATGTGTAGGATAAATATACAAATTTATTTCTATAGTAATAGTAAGGGAAATTATCTTAGTTACTTTGAAAAAGGTCATAGAGAGATATTACGTATATGTTTGCAATTATCTAATGGTTTAATAGTATCATTATCAGTTGAGTGAACACCACCTATCTGCGTATTTTAACCCAGATTTGAGTAAAATAGGAAATGTAGAATGGTGGAAGGTTCTGTGTAGCTTTATTACTGACTAAGATACGTTTTAGGGACGTATCTTGGTTGTTTCATTTCCCAGGATCATTTATTTAAAGTCAAATGATCAGGAATAGTCGGGTCAAGTTTTGACCCATCAGAAAGCGACTGACTTTTACCATTATGAACATAGGTTAATTTTCTGTACGTGTTAATTAACACTAAACACCCACTATTTCTATTAGGCCATATTTCCAAACCATATTTCATAGTGTTCTTAAATATAGGCTATTAAGTGTAAAGGAACGAAGTGAAGAAACTGTCACAAAAATTACAAACATAATACAGTTCTTAAACTTGTTGTACATATGTATCTACAATCTGTCTCAATGCAAATTATTCACTCTGAAAATACGAATTCACCCATGAATATTTTTATAGGTAATCAAAAACTGGTAAAAGTTAATCTTTCAATAAAAAAATCAAAGACACTTTAGAAAAACAGTTAAACAAATTAGAAAAGTAGGAAATGTATAAATTTAATTTATTATATTTTACAAAAAAAGGAATAAAACCCGAAATTCCAAGCTTGAATTGAGACGGGAAATGCTTCACCCAAGAGAAACATGTTTGACGATAACACAAGAATATGAACTTATTTTGTGGCGAATCTTGTTGCCCGGTCAGTCAGTAAATCCAAGATTGGATTGCAGTCAGTTTCCTCTTTGCAAGGAAGTCAAAAGATTCCTCTATAAAATGGGATTGTATCATCTACCTATAAGAGCTCTATCACAGACAATGTGGCTCTATCATTTAAAAGATAAAAACATTTTGTTTTCTACGTGTTATATTTAGAACAGTTCATATATTACAAATCTTTTGATTCTGTTTGATTTTTAATTTTTGATTGTTTTATTAAAGTGAAGCGAAGAAACAGGAAGTGAATGTTGCTCTGCTAAGTAGAAAGGGGAATGAAGCATCATCTTGAATGATTCATGGGGAATATCACCTTAAGGAAGTATTAATTGCTATACTTTTCAGAGTAAAACATAAGTCGGTATGTGTAGGACAAATGCATGTGTAAAGGCGCGATATCTCTTACATAAATCGTGAATTCTGTTTAAACGTGTAGACCACCACCTGTATGTATTTATCAGTCAGCTCGATCTGAACAACTAGTTGTTATGCGGACGTTTTTGAGGAACATCTATGGGATATTTTACTTAAAATCAGTATCTACGACATTAATTTACTAGGATGTGATAGCCCGATCTGCAATAAAAAATAATTGGAAATATATTTATACACCCCGATACGTTACTTATTTAGTCATGGCACAGAAGGATTGCTAAAAGTATGCGTTTGTGTAGCAGAAGTGCTATACTTAATAATGCAGAATTTTCTGCATAAGTTAAAATAAGGTACAAACTCCATTTTTGTTATGTCTATTTCAGCAAAGATAAAAACATGTATTAGCTTAGCTTTTCCGTAACAAGAGTATTTTTTTAATTGGATCATATACGTAAGGTTTTAGCCGATATATTTGCGATATTCTACAAAATTACAGATGATTGTAGAGATATGATATTATCACCACAATCATGCTGTAGTATTCCAACTCACCACAATTTAATATTCATCTACAAAATAGTGTTATACTAGTTGGTAGATCTCATGAGATGAACCTAAATAAGGCAAAAGTGATTGTGAAAGTACTACAGAGAGTAAAGAACTTTCATGATCAAAGCTTCGGAGGACAAAGAGCTGGTGTTCTCGTTATGGCCAGTTATAGATCAAAGAGATGATTTACTTTTTACTGCAATTCCCGATGTTCTTTGAACGATTAAATGTACTTTCCGCCAATATCATATGTGGAAGGGCCTATGATGAACAACGCGAGTAGTAAGTACTGGAGGCGACCGATGTAGCTGTGTAAGCGTAAATTAAACATACTTGTACGTATTATAGTAATTCCTATTGATCGTCTAACAATTGAAGCTATGTTTTCGGCAACTACTCTCTACAGCTCTACCGCCACTATACTCTAGGTATACGTTACCGTAAAATACCCCCGCAGCAGCAAACTTGCAGACTAAGCGAATGTCCATTTGCCTGAATGGATTTTCAATTAAATCTTTTTAAATTACATTTGGTTTATCAATTACCTAGGTTTGCTGCTACAGGGAGGATAATTAAGTGTGTATTTTGTGAAATATTAATAGCTTAGTATAAAATAAACAAATTTGCCAAGTTTGATCAAAGTATATCTATAAACAAGCAAACTACAATAGTTTACTTATACTCTCCATAAGCATAACATAGGAATTTTAAATTAACTTTTTTTTAATTTTCTCCGTATCCAATAACCGTAAAAACACTTCTATATACTAAATTATTTGTTTTTAAGCTCCTTGAAATGGGTTAAAGAGAAATTGGAAAATTTCAGGTTTCTGGGTCAAAATGAGAAAATTTTTACCCCTTAAAATCCCCGAAAAAGCCCCGTTCCCATAGTCCGATCATGCTGGTTCGTGAAGTCATCCAAGTTAATTCCGCCCTACATCTTCGAGCCAAATTTCATGGAATTCAGACAAAAATTACCCAAGTTATCGTATATTGGTCCCGTATTCAGGTCTTGCCGTGCCACTTACGGTAATCGCACTGACTTTTGATAATAACTACTTCCCTAGAGGGAAATTCGATAAAATTGTATGATAAACTAAAGATTGAAACATAGAAAAGCAGTATGAACAATAAGACTATTTTCCATGTTTTGTACAAATATCAGGTGCCTATTGTAAACATAATCTGATTGTTTCTCTTACAAATGGTTCTCGGTGCGAAACTATACTTATCGTGGCTTCAGTGTTTCTGCATTATTTTCAAGACGATTCCGTCACTAATTTTTTTTTATAATATTCTTAGTATATATTTCATTGATATACTACTGGGTTAAATTTGGCTATTTTAAGTTAAATTACGTATTTTAAACTATAAGTTAACCTAATTTACACTTTCTATCAAAGGAAAAGAATTAGATCCATGATCGATTCTAACAAGTATCTATATTTTTTATTTTTTTTTATTTTTCAGTTTTATACATTTATTTTAAGACACTTTGTGTAACAAGTGTCACACGAACATACATTGTCTACAAGGAGGCAGATAGAGGCCCTGTAATACTGCTGCAATAACTCGCCTAAACCTACTTGA